TTCGCATAGATTTTATTAACCAGTTAGCGCCGCTAAGAATTTTTCAGCGAGTAGTACTTACTTGATCAGCCTCATTTCACAATTTCTTTCTCCAACTGTGCAGCTGGCAACTTGTGCAGTTGCTTTGATCAGTGCTGTACCACTTGATGGTCAATTTGCTTGCTACGCTGACGTACGTTTTTAATGAAGCATTCCTGGGAAAAAAGTGTACTAGCTTAGCGCTACTGACGACTTCTGGAGCAAGAACTAACAACTCTCAAATTATCACTAATATGGCAATTAGTAAAGAAGTACTTGAAGTGGTACCTGTTTTTTACATTTTCTTAGCTATTCTACTACCCAGGCTAGATTCCATGCTAAAAAAATGCTTATTGACAGACCAATACATAGTTGAAATTAGCATACACGGGGATCAACAAGGCAGAACTTCGCTAAAACGTAGGGCCCGAAAAATGATCAGTTTAGAATGCCGATATCTGATCAGAATTCATTGCAAGGTAGTGACAGCGATCGCCATATACAAGCACTGTCGTCCGTCGATGTATTCCTGGGAGATTCGCGATCGGCTCATAACCGATGGTGTGTGCAGCTCATCCACTGTCCCCAGTGTTTCATCAATCAACAGGTTCAGAGCTCTTTTGCGGATTATCTTAAAATTCAGAAGGAGATAGTAGGTTGAGCTACAATTGGTCACATTAAAATAACTTCTTAACTCGCGCTTCAAAAAATGGTTTAGGTTATATTTTCTAAATCCGAAGCTCTGCGCAGCCCAAATGGTTATCAGTTATAGCTGGTTTAGAACTTACAGGGGAAAAAACTTTCCAGTTAGGTTCGTTATATCTCACTCCTGAACTTATAAGTGTCTAAGTCAAAAGTTAACTCCCCCGTACAAGAGGAAGCGGTACTCGAAAGTAGTCCCAGTGGTACTAACCACCCACTGACAAGGCTGTCGATGGCTTCACTTTCAGAGATTACTCAGAAGCAGCTGATGGCAGGTTGCTTCACTGCTATGCGTTAGCACCAATTTACCATCGAGGCGAATGAACAGATCGCAGAAGAACTGCTTGTCCTACTGACAGTTTCGAATATGAGATCAGAGCTACCTACCTTCCCTAAGCTTGTTCTGATGAAAATTTAGAAAAATTAGATTTTCTCGAAAATTACGAATTAAAAATCCATTAATTGCGAGTTTTTTTGATCACAGGATAATAAGGACGAAACTTGGAGTTCGTCAACGAAACGATCTAGTTAATGCTGCTTCGACAGCTACCGAATTTAACGTCGATTACGCGATGCCATTTGAAAGCAAAGTCTTCACGACGCAAGACGCTGCGGACGGCGGTACGGAGACGCTGTACAAGGATGTGAGCTGCAGTGAATCGAACAGCTCACCTTTCAGTCGATCCTTCACAAATTCGTCGGCAAATTCAAGCCCTTCCATTTAGCAAATCAAAACACTAAACCTAACAAGTTGCGCCAGCATATTAGCTGAATTACCTTAGTTATCTTGGAACTTGGGATCAAGAAAGTCTAGGAAGTTCATCGGATTCCAAATATCTTTCTATGCGTTTTTGCGCTAAATCAGCAGTTTCAAAAAAGACGTCTGGGCAATATGCTTGATACGTATATGATGACCGCACAGAAATATGATGACCACATTTCAGTCTTATATTAGGCTAGAAACCCGAAAAACAACCTTCATGTCACCCTGTGTCTAGACCGTGACCTCTGGTCAACAATTTCTTAAGGTCAGGAGTGATGGGTTTTCCGATCATTTACTGAACTACAAGCCTACGACCAATTCGTAGTTCACCATGTGTCCAGACTTGTAATCGCAAGTCTTAATTAATACTGATTTTATAAGCGGAGACTAGCAACGCTACGAACTCAAATTATGAGTTTGTCATGCATTGCATCTTATTTAAGCTAAAATTTTATTTCACACCTTTTACCGCAAATTCGGTTGTATCCGAAACTGTAATAGGACTTGTTCGTTTCATGAGCGAACCTCCTCTACCATACGGCTGGTAACACTGTCATACCTCCTTTATTGCTTCGAATCATTTGGTTTATCAATTTCGTCGCTATTTGTCTTGATATGCTTTGTACAGTTAATCATCTTTTTAGTTAAAGAGAGTAGGTGTTCTAACCTTTGTTAAAACTCCTTTTATGCATCCCTACATAACTTCCTCAGAAAACATATTTTGACGAGGCCGCATCCACATTTGTTTGCCTGTACATATGTGTCTGTCTATGCCGATGATTCAGTTTCAGAACTATAAGAGCTAGGAAGCAAAAAATTTAAGAGTAATCGTCTCCGGGCTTATGAGGATTCAAAAACGTCAATTTAACTTTCAAGGCCCCTCGTTTTTGAAGAAGGGAGTCACAAAAGACTGCCATACCCGCATCATGCGGCACTAAAATCAAAATGTGTGCTTTTAAAGTACT